GCGTTGAAATTGGTCCATGCTAGGGCACCCTAGTCCATGCGAGCGCCCTTAGTGCGCGCCCTTAGTGCGCGCCCAAAGTGCTCGAGTAAAACGGTTTCAATGGATAATATAACACTTGATGAGTTGTCGGCAGCGTTATCACGGTCATCAAGATGAGTGGTGAATGACTGGTATTCTCTAATCTGCGAATATGTGTCAAAACAATGTGATGCTTACAGCGAGGTTTGACATAGACGTCTCCTCTATAGACGGGTAGGATATGGGAATATCATTAACACGAACTGCTTAGCACCCAGACTCTCGTGACTAACGGAATGATGTGTAGAAAATATGACTGGATTTTTATTACTAAGGCGAATTTGTAGCTTGTAGACGATTGACCTTTGATGGCATGCTAGAGAGACCGCTAGCGATCAGTAAACTGGGTCCAATAAATGCAATTATTTCTTCTCCTTTTCCTTTTTTTTTGCCGACTTTTAGGTCAGGTTGCATAAATTATCCATTAGTATTTTTTTTTAATCACTCCCATAGTGCACATATTATATATTGCTGAAAAAGAGCAAGGGGTTTCGTTTGTAAGCCGCGCCCCTTGGCAGCACCGCAGGCTTTATTGATATATGCCAGACTTGGACGTAGTTCAACTACTCTACTCAAACTACTGTAGTTTAACTACTTTTTCGAGTATTTTGGTAACTTTCAATTACAACTTTATTTCGGTAATTAGTAGTTTAATTTAACTACTTTTTTCAGGTAACTTCTACTCAAATTACTAACTACTTTCGAAATTATATAGTGCTAATTTTGCCCATCACGAAAGTTTGAGCGCAGAAATGAATAAGACGCCGGGAGATGAAGTGGCATTCCCGAACAAGGGGCCCCCTTGTTCGGGAAGGCGTCCTTGGGCCAAGGTGGCGACGAGCAGCCAAAACATAACACCGGCACGCACGAACGCAGGAAGAGATGCTTAACAAGCCTTGGTCGGGTATTGACCTAATCTGTAATGCACGCAGCCGCCGCGTTTCCAGGTGCAACCTTGAAAGACGGGGACACTCCGAGAGTTGTTGTTTTCGTGGTGTCTGTCTTTAGTGAGTTCTGACTCAAGCGGTAGGTTCCATGGTAGGCGCCACTGGAATGACCTCGCAGCTGGGCGCCTGTTCCCATGGTTGCCTCGTCGTCAGCGCATACGCCTTTGCGAAGCCGGACTCCCCCGCGCACAAACCCTGGCACGGATAATCCGCTCATGGGAGCACGTTCCCGCTTCCAGCCGCAACTGTATACGAGCGCCGATGCTTGTTCACGTAATCCTTCGCGTCCTTCCGACCATCCATGCCTGGGAGAACTCCTCTTTGTTAAAACGATTTACTTGTCAGGCGTGTCAGGTGCGTCAGAATATTGTAGTCGCCGGCGAGGATAGGGAGTTACCCTTGGGAGATATTTTTGTTGGACCCAGCGTCAGCGGCGAAGTATACTTCGGTTCATCTTCTGTTAAACAAAAACAATTTTTTTTTTCGCACAGTCGTCCGGATGACTTCATCGTCGTGGCGCGAGACTTGAACCCTTGACGGTCTGCTGCACTCGCTCAGCGTACTCTCCGAACGACGTCGGAATAAAGAGGGGCCAGTCATAACAATCTCAACTTGACGAAGAAAAAAGATAAAAGGAGAAAAGTTTGTTATAAGAGACCCTCTACCCGAGGCAAACCTTACATGTTTCGTCATGGATACCTAAGATGCCGACACTCGCTTACCCGACCCTGCACAGCCTGTTTCTCAAATTCAATGCTGCCGTTCCATCCAGCCCCTCGGTGGAACGTCTTTTTAGCTTGGCTGGGGACGTCTTTAGAAGGAAAAAGGGAAAACTCTCCTATCAAGAACTTTGAAAGTCAATTGCTTCTGCGAGCCAATAAACTATTTTAACGAAAACGCAAGCCATAAATAGACTGCGTTAATTTTAGGCTCGCAGGGTTTTTCATTGATCAAAACTGCTTTTCATTTTGCGACCACAAAAATATAAAAAAGTAACTTCGAAAGTAACTTCAAAGTAACTCGCTACTTTTTACAGTAGTTAGTAGTTTACTCAATTACTATAACAAATTCGTAATTTCTACTCTACTCTAATTACTTTTGGCGTCGATACTCAGTAACTTAACTTAACTACCTTTTTTGAGTAATTTGTACATGTCTGATATATGCTTATATGAAACTCCTTAGTATTTCTGAAAGATAAACTGAGCATGTTAATCACAGATGATTTTTTCATCCTTTTTTTTTTTCTTCCTTCCTTTGCACGTAACGGACAGGTAACCGTCGAAGCTCGAGCTGCGTCTGCCGCGACTCGTAAGAAGCTTTGGCAGCACTGAACCAGCTATGTGGTGCGCTAGCCCACCTGACCATCGAAATCACGAAACAGTATCGCGTTCTTTTTCATTAAGTGGAAAACAGTCGCAAAACATTGATTACAGGAGTATATTGATTAACATATATGGTGCTCAGGAACCAACACAGCCTTGTTTTCAGTTCCTACGAAATGGCAGAAAAGCCACACTTCGGCAATTTTGTTAACATTTGTACTTGGCATGCTTCACAGCTTCGCGTATTCTTCATGGTTTGCATGTTCCGTGTTTCTTCGAAGATGGCCGATGGCCGTCAGCCGTTTTCTTGCATTCAACTAAACCAAGAAAGTCAAGAAGCCGTTAGACAGTTTCGGTTTGAAGGTAACATCCAGATCCAGATCCGAAACCGAGAGACCGAGAGGCAAGATGGCCGGTCGCGACAATGGTTCAGAACGCTCACAACAGTTCGATGGAAAATCTAGCACTATTTAGCTTTGACGATGGTTCGATGGCGGTTGAGACGGTGAAATTAATTAGAGGTTACGACCCTGCAACACACAACTCAAAAGCTTGGCCGAAATACAAGGAGGGAGCCCTGAAGCACTGGGTGAAAGTCGATTGGCCCAATTCAGACAAAGCCGGTCGGGCTACGGGAACGACGACTCTGCACCCAGCGCAAATCGTCCGTTTTGGAGGTACGTTATTCTCTTTTTATGTTTATTCCAAAGTTTCTGTGAGCGGGGCGGGCTTGCTAGGTTTGGGCTGGCTGCTTTACGTACTGCTTTATAGCTCTATAGGCTGTCAAGTGTTTCAGGTGTTGAAATTAGCTGTAACTTGTATTTTGGTACATTTCATTTTGTGGCTGTTCAGACTGCCGGGCCGAGCTGAAGGAACTGCTCGACAAGTATGTGAATCAGCGAAACGGCACTTCAAAGCACAGTGAGGTAAGCAAATTTTGGGGAACGGTATCTGTAGGCTTTACAATGCCCCTTTGGCTGTGCACCACTGGCTTTGAGCGCAACTGATGGGAGTGCTGATCTGTCGATTCTGACATGGGGTTCAGGATTAAATGACGAGGCCGGATATTCCGTCTTGCTTTGCTCTCTGCAGAATCCATTACTTTTTTTACAATTTTTTTTTTGTGCTTCCTCATCTGTTTAAGCAGCTTCTGAGCTGCTTGGTGCCGCAATGCCAGAGTAACATGATCAGTCCAAAGTCCAGCTTCTACGTCTACTCTAAGGAGGAACCGCTGCATAAAGACACATAGTATACTGAGGAGCTGTTTTAGCATCCAAACCTCGTGGAAAATTTCTGGTTGCTCTTGGAAATGGCTTATAACAAGGTCCATCAGACTACATCTGCATAGCAGGGCTTTATAATATTTTGAAAACTGCTGAACAATGCCTTATCTCTAAATATATTTTGTGCACGTGCGATGCATGGTCCATGAGTCTTAACTAAGATAAGAAAATTTAATATTAACTTTTATTTAGTTCGCTTTCTTCGAAATCAGTGGGACGGTGTAAAAAAATTAAGTGCAGAAAATATTAGTTAAAAGTGAAAACAATGAGAAATTCAAGAGCAAGTTCTGAACTTTCCATTTATGTTTTGAATTTTGCTAAAGCTTACTGATTTTCTTCTTGAAATTACTCGTTGCAGAAGAAGCAGCCCTCAAAAAGGAAGAACTGTGTGGAGGACAAGTTGCTGAAAAGGCTGCGGCAGGAAATTAAAGGTCGGGGGGTATGTATAAAATCCTTTTTGTTATAAAAGTTTTAGTTTTATTGATGGCATATCAGTATTCATATGATCTTGCCGTTTTGGTGTTTGGTTAGACTTATTTTTCTTAATGTCATTAACTTTTTTTTTTCCAAGGGTACTGGTCATTTGTTCATTCAGGCCCACTACAAACTGTTCAGACCACTGAGGTAACTGGAGATTATAGATTTACTGGCTCAGTGACCTCTGCACTGTGAAGGCATATGACATACGTTGTTGTTTTTCTAAGCCAGCGGTTCTCAAATAGGGGTCCACGGACCACTTGGGGTCCGCCGACCCTTTGGCGTCCACGAAGGCATTCTAGGGGTCCGCGAAGCCCAGCCTCATCAGTCAAGCCCTGAAATACAACTTGTCTTTCCTCAGATTGGGGAGAACCGTTCACAGTTTCGGGTTAGTTTTCTCGTGTATGTGTCAGTAAGAGAAGTCCACTTTACACTAGCCCTCAATTATATTCGTTTATTAAATTACTTTCATCATCAACCTAAACTTTCCCTTCCATTCACCACGAACGGGGTCACCCATCATCTCCGCCGATGCAGAAGGAGTCCGTGAAACGCCGATAGTTGAGAACCACTGCCCTACGCATTAGAAAAAGTCAGTGGGCAGCTGGAACGCAACTTTGTGAGTTTGTCAGAGGTCACTTCTGGGGAGCAGTTGCTTAGGAATTCCAATGTTATACTTTGTTGTGCAACTCTGATAATCTATCATTACTGCTTATATTTGCTGTTTATAGCTCGGTGCATCTTCTGGGCACGCGCCAGAAGCTCATCTTGTACCTGCCCTGGCCTGCCCTGCTGAAAAGGCCAAGCCTGGAGCCGAGGACAAGACCAGGGCTAGCGATGCCGAGACGAGGGCCAGCGAGGCCGACACCAGGGCCAGCGAGGCCCAGGCCATGGCCAGCGAGGCCAAAGCAAGGGCCTCCGAAGCCGAAGCCAGGGCCTCCAAAGCCGAAGCCAGGGCCTCCAAAGCCGAAGCCAGGGCCTCTGAAGCCGAAGTTAAGGCCTCCGAGGCCGAAGCCAGGGCCTCCGAAGCCGAAGCCAGGGCCTCCGAGGCCGAAGCCAGGGCCTTCGAGGCTGAAGCCAGGGCCTCAGGGGCCGACTCCAGACCAGGGACTGCAAGGGCTGAGGACGCGGAGGCCAGGGCCGAGGTGGCCGTGGCCAGAGCGGAGGAGGCCACGACCAGGGCGGAGGAGGCCGAGGCCAGGGCGGAGGAGGCCGAGGCCAGGGCGGAGGAGGCCGAGGCCAGAGCGGAGGAGGCCGAGACGAAGGTCGTCGAGGGAAAAGCACAGATGGCTTTCATGCTGGACGACCTTCTCCCTGCTTTGGAACGTATGACTGAATTTACAAATATCTGGAAACTTCCAGGTTACATCAGTCCTCTTATGATTAGCTATAAATGGTGACAGGTCAAGAACAAAGTGGAAGTTACTCCGACCTCTTTCCAGTTGAGCAGAGCGAATGCTGGAGGGGAGGTTGCCTCCTCTCCAGCATTCGCTCTGCTAAAGTGGAAAGAGGTCGGAGGAACTTTCACTTTGTTCTTGACCTGTCACCAACTATGGAGTGGAATATTCCCAATTGTTGTGATTACCATAAGGTTGAGGCGCAGTGGCGTCACAAGGGTCAGCGGCACCCAGGGCTGTAGCTTGCCACGACACCCCCCCTTCTTTAGAAAGCTCCGCCAGCCATAGCGCGCATGGAACTGAATCAAAGGAGTGGGCTTATCTTTTCAAAGTTTTTATATTTTCAAGTTGCACCAAACTAATAAGAATTTTTTTTCTCATTTTTGCAAAAAGGTTTTCTTAAAAACCTTTTTTTTTTGCTTCGACGTGCCTAACCTATTTGTCCAGGCCTAACTGCCCGATGTTGCAAATTCGCGGCATATTTTATTTTTGTTTAGGAGTCCATTTGCACCAAAAGAGACTTTAGTAATTGATTACATATACACATTTGAGGGTATGTCCTCTGCGCGCAGCTATTTTCTTTGCTGGGGAGCATGTGGGCTGTGCCATAATATGATTACGGTATGATGCTTTGAGAAGGCGTAATCGGATTATGGCACGACCCACAGCGCACCTACGTGCACCCCAGCAAGCAAGATGGTGGTGCCGGAGGCCACTCTTGCAAACATGTGTGCAAAACAAAACAAAAAACTTTTTGAAGGACGCATTCCCTTAATTTTTTGCGTTAAAAGGTTACCAAGCTGCTTCATATCCCGAAATAAGTACTACTGCTACTACTATTTTCTGTCATTCCATAAGTTCCACAGGAAATACTTCTTCGACATCAGGGTAGGGAATATCCTTGACGGTGAAACATTCAATTGCGATGCGAGAGCCGACCCTTCTTGTGTTTGGACTCACAGTGTCAACTTGCATGTTTTAATTTGCTGCTCTGCATACAGGACTAGCATGTGCATCACTGTTTAAACTTGCTGCTGTGCATAGTTGAAATGAGGCCGCTCATGGTGTGATATGGAGTGGCCGCAGTGATCTGTCTCAATTAGGGAACTGTTTGTGAAGCGGCATCTTGACAGTGAGTGCCCGTGTCGAAAGCAGTGAAATATGCACGAAAACACTGAATGTGCGCTAGAAGTGCAATGTCGACGACAAAAGTGACAGCCACTGAAGTAGATAAGTGAGCTGACTAAGGTCAGGAAATGAGACTTGAGGGGTATAGACCATTTGCAATATCCCCCAAGTGCCCTGGCCCGTGCTAGAGAAATCATGGGAACGGTGTTCCTTAAGCTCCTTAGTGATCGGTAATTTCGACCCAATCCATGGTTACATAGCTTTTGAGCATAATTTGGAGTCACTCTGAAAAAGCGCCTGATATACACCAAGGACCTATTGTGTCGCTTTTAAAATTTCTCCTCAATGTTTCTGATACTGTGCGTGCTGTGTACCCTTCAACCTGGATGAGCTGCAGAAATCCCTTACATTGTTATCATTCTCGTACAGCTTCGAAGACGCTGATATTAAGTTCGAAACGCTAAAAATGCTATAAACAGCCCCGCTGACTCCGAGCTAAATCCTGGTTTTTGTTGTTGTAAATTCTGCTTTTTAAGCAATTCCTGCTAAAACAACAATCATGAGAATGATAACATTGTAAGAGATTTCTGCAGCTTAGCCAGGTTGAAAGGTGGACTGCATGCGCAGTATCAATAATGTTGACATTGACAATAAAGCTTAAAAGTGAAATGACAGGTCCTCGGGACGTGTATCGGTCGCTTGTTCAGGATGACTCCGAATTATGCTCAAAAGCCTGTGTAACCATGGAATTGGTTGAAATTAGCAATCACTAAGGAGCTGAAAGAACACCATTTTCATGATTCCTTGAGTGCGGGCCGAGGCGCTCGGGAATGTAGCAAAAGGTCTATTGGGGTGCGAAGCTGTCTGAAGGGAGAGCAGCCTGAAGACGAAAATATGTTCCCATGATATTTCTAGCGTGAGTTAAAAGTGCTCGGATTATTTCAAAAATGGTCTTTTTATGGTGAGCGTACACATGTCAAGCATGGGATTGTAGGCGTGGATTTCAGAGCTTCCGGCTTTTTCACCATTCATTTAAAAAAATTTGAAGTCTAGGAGCAAGTTAGGCGCAGTGTCTGCTTTAATCGTGTGCACTTTCTCTCAATTTTTCTTAATGTTAAACCAGGTGTAACTTATGTGTAGCTTTAAAGGGGCTATGATGCCAGTGTTGACGGTTGTTAACCATCAATTTTTTTCATAATTTGAATACCTAATTGTAATGTCATTGTGATGAATGCTTCCTACTGGCAGGTGTGCCAACCCTCGTGGCAGCTTTGGAGGCTCGTGGAGCGACGGGCCCTGTGGTTCAGGGGAGTGTTGTGGAGAACACGGTATGTAACGATTTCCTCTCTCCGCATCGCAGTTAAACATGTGCATCTTTTATCTTGTCTTGTTCCTAACCCTAATGGCTCATTCACACCTGCGGGTCTACACAATAATCTGCCCAAATTTTGACTCTGGGTGCCAAAATTTGAGCAGATTATTTTGACGCTCGGACCACAACCATAGACTTTTGACGCCGCGCATCAGAAGTGTGTGAAATATCCGATGGCAAACAAATTGGTCTGAGATTTTTTTTTTTTCTGCTGGAGAAAATTTTTCAATCAGAACCGAAGGCAGGAATTGCATTGCCAAATGTCACACCAGAGAATATCAGCTTACCTACAATAGGAAAACAAATTTTGGCGTTTCTAAACAAAGCACGGCAAGTCAACAGGACTTTTTCAGAAACTTGAGGAAGTCTCGTCCAAAGCTCTGTCACATGCCTCCTTGCATTGCAATGGCCTTGCCGCTTGCCTCCCTTCTCTCGCTTGCCCTCTTTCTGTCGTAAGCTACAGCCGGTTTGCGACAGCACGCTGCCTTTTGGCACCAGTGGAGGCAGGTGCAGCTTTTTAAATCTCACTTAACAGATGACACATCAACGTCTTTTGTTTTGTTTTTTTTGGGGATTGACACTTCATGGCGGACGAAACCAACACAACCTAGACGAACTCGAGGCCTTACCACCGATTTCTTATGCCTCCTGAAAGGAGTTGGTGCGATGCACGGATTGAACACGAGTGTCATGTCAGCCTTGACTGCCCATTAAGTGAGAACATGAGTCGCACCTGAACGGTGATGCTTCACTCATTTTCAATCTGTGCTCTGGGTGGTCCCCTTTTTGGTGACAGAAAATTAAGTGCTAAGTCTTTGTATCTGGGTGGCATTGACTCCCCAAACTCTTCTTTTTCTCGCACTGGAAAGCAACGTGTTTGCAAAGAGTCTTTTAGCTCCTCTACTCTCGCCGAGACGAAAATCGGACCCCGGTGCTATGAACAGTTTCCGTTCGATGCTCACATATTTCTTGGTCTTTGCCAAGCAATGTGCAGAGGTAACCTACTCGAAATAAGGCACGGCATTTGTTAAAAGCTGGTTTTCTAATCCGCCGACGAGCACTGGTATATAACAGGGTTGTACTTGGGAAACAGATTTCCCGAGTACATTGCACGGGCACGGCGGGGTAACAAGCCTGAACAATTGATAAGTCTTTTTTTGACGAGCAAATTCACTCGGCAGCTATAGTGCTTTTTAGAAGTGTGAATGAGCCACAGTTTCTAGCAAACAATGTGCCTGTTAGAGATTCGCAACTATTAGAACCATAGCTCCTTACTTGGCCCCATCGGCCAGCGTAGTCATTGACACGTCGTGCAAAGCATTTTTGTTTAATTGGGCGATTGGTGCCTCACTTACACCCTTTTCCTTTTGCCCAAATTTCGTATGCCTCCTGCAGTTCGCTGCTTGTCTTGTCATTGTATCTAGCAAGAATCTTAACATCATACAACACCGGGGAACAGTGGCATCTATTGCAGTGAATGGCGCATGGCAGCCGCGCGCTCATGGGCACGGTCATTCACACACCTGCCCATCTGGCCAATATACACTGCTCGTCACAATAGTGGTATCTGATACACGATGCCTAAGACATACTCAGCAAATCTATTCTTGTGTTTTATGCTGCAAGGCTCAGATGGCTGCTTGGGGCTGTTGATTCTGTGGCAGAGCCGAACCATCTTTTCGAGTGTTGAGGACACCACAGGAATGCAGTGGCGCTGACCAACTTTCCTTAATTGTGTGATACTGAATGTAAGTGCTGTCGAGACCGGTTTTAATGAAGACAATGGGAATCGGGAATCACTTTGATATATCCGCTATATCCTTTAAACTGAATTCAGTTAACAAAGTGCAAAAGGGAGTGGGGAAGTCGCGATTCCTTCGCTGTAGCCACTATATTTTTATAACCGACTTCGTTATAACCTGTCTCGACAGTATGGTGTCACAGCTGGCCTCACCTTGGACTTCCCACGAGCGGGTTTGTTTATGCCTTCAAACTTTTTTAACAGGCTTTTGGCGACCCGAATTAGACATATCTGCGTGTAGGCTGCTTCTCTCTGTCGCGCAATCTATTCCGTACAGAATGGCCACAAGATTGCTTGAGAGAGGCCTCCAAAAACATTGGCAATGCCCCTTGAAAAAAGAAAAAGAAAAGTGGCAGTGTTAACGTGTTTGGAGACCTCTCTCAAGAAATTTTGTGGCCACTCTGTACAAGATAGCTTTGCGCTACAGATTGCACAACTGATAAAGCAGGTTATCCGCAGATGTGTCTAAAGCGCCGTTCACACACTTGCACCTGAGTACGACCGAGAGAGACAAGTCCGGTTTTTAAGCCTCTTGCGACGGCGTACAACCTGCTTCGCAGCAGTGCATCGCGTCCTACGCCATCGCAAGAGGCTTAAAAACCGGTCTTTTCTCTCGTTTGTACTCGGTTGCAAGTGTGTGAACGGTGCTTAATTCAGGTCTCCAAAAGCCTGCTAAAAAAGTTTAGAGGCATAAGCAAACAT